GCTGCTGCTGCTGCTGCTGCTGCTGCTGCAGATGCGCGCCTCCGCAGCGGCTGCCTCCTCTTCGGGCCCCCAGGCACTGGCAAGACGCTGCTGGCGAAGGCCATAGCGACGGAGTGCGACGTCAACTTCATTTCTGTCAAGGGTCCCGAGGTTTTGAACAAGTCCGTCGAGGGTTTAGGGTTTAGGGTTTAGGGTTTAGGGTGTGTAGCGTCTAGGCTTTAGGGTTTGGAGTTTAGGGTTTAGGGTTGGGGGTTTGGGGTGTGGGTTCTCTGCCGGGGCTTTACCGCTCAGTGTGTGGGTTTAGGGTTTAGGGTTTAGGGTTTAGGTTTTAGGGTTTAGGGTTTGGGAATTGGTGTTTGGGCTCGCCGCCGGGGCTCTAGCGCTCAGGGTGTGGGGTCTGCTGCTGTGGGTTTGAGGTGTACGTACACCGCAGGTATATCGGAGAAAGCGAAAAAAATGTCAGAGACATTTTCGCGAAGGCGCGGGCTTGCCAGCCTTGTGTTTTGTTTTTCGACGAAATAGATGCCCTCGTAAGGGTTTAAGATTTGGGGTTCAGGGTTTCAGAGGCCAAACTTGTGCTTGCAAGTTTTTAGGGTTTATTTATTTAGGGTTTAGGGTTTAGGGTTTAGGGCCTAGGGGACAAAGCCTGTGTGCACTTTTCGACGGACGGGATGCACTGGTAGGGTTTATGGTTTGAGTTTTGGGATTTAGGGTTTAGGGGAACAAGCCTGTGTGTTGCCTTTTGATGTAAGGGTTTAGGGTTTAGGGTTTAGGGTTTGGTAGTGGCCCGCAACTAGAGTTCAGTTGTCCCGCTTCTCAGAGACTTTGCCCTGGCCGCTAAACCCCAAACCCTAAACCATTCAGCGAATCCAACAGCTGCAGGCTCTTTGGGCGAACTAACTAAAAACGTCTGTTGCTGCTGCTGCTACTGCTGTTGCTGCTGCTGCTGCTGCTGCTGCTGCTGCATTGGTGTGCAGCTGCCCCGCCGAGGCAAGGCCTCTGACTCTGGAGGGGTTTTGGACAGAGTGGTGGCGCAAGTGCTCGCCGAGATGGACTCCTTGCCTCCCAAGGTCAGCAGCAGTAGCAGCACCAGCAGCAGCAGCTGCTGCAGCAGCAGAAGCAGCAGCAGCAGCAGCAGCGGCAGCTGCGTATGGGGGCTTCTAGGGAGCCAGACATCAGCAGCATACAGTCAAAAAGCGGAGTGGCACGCGCGCCCGCATTTGGCTGTCGGTCTGTGTGCAGCAGCAGCAGCAGCAGCAAAGCGCAGCAGCAGCACGGATTTGCGAAATGTTGAATAAAATGAATATTTGAAATGATTTTTTCAGGTTTTTGTAATTGGAGCAACAAACCGCATCGAGCTGCTGGACGGTGCTGCACTGCGGGCCGGGCGGCTGCAGCGGCTGGTGTATGTGGGGGTGCAGCAAGACAAGGGGCCCCTGCTGCATGCACTGACACAGCAGCAAATAGTTTTGGGGGCCCCTGCTGCTTCTTTGAGGGCCCTGGAGAGCAGCAGCAGCAGCAGCGAGGCTGCTGCAGTGCTGGAGCAGCTCAAGGTGGACGTACACCCCGGAGCCACAGGCGCGGACTGCAAAGCCCTCTGCAGCAGCGCCGCTCTTATGGCCATCAAAGAAAAAATTAAATTTGCAAAAACTCTCGAGTGTGAGCCAAAATATAAAAGTATTAAATTAATATATATTATTAAATTAATATATATTGTACATAATAATATATAATACTGCATGCTAGTGGTAATAATAAAGCTGCAATGCATGCGCAAGTTGTTGGACGTGTCGCCTGTAATTACACGCAAGTTATGGCATTTTACTTGCAAATATAAAACTAGCATGCACTAAATATATATTAATATATATTAATATATATTAATATATATTAATATATATTAATATATTATTTATTACATTCTCCTCACTATTTATTTCTTGCATTACTGCGTTAATAGTTCTATTAATAACTACCTAGCCAAACTGCGAGCCTCTTAGGTGAATCTCCCGCAGCCTTGGCCAATGAACTAACTTTTGGAATTTGACTTAAAATAAAATTAAAAGAATTGTTTTGCTGCTGCAGCTATTAACTTTTGGAATTTAATTTCAAATAAAATTAAGAGAACTGTTTTGCTGCTGCAGCTGCCCTCGGGCTGCGGCCAAACGTGCTGCAGGCGGCGGCCCTGGGGGCGTGGCGCTGTATAGACCACGAGGCGGAGCCGCTGGGGTGTACGTACACCGTGGACTTGCTGCTGCCTGGCCCCGCAGCAGCAGCAGCAGCAGGGGGTGCAGCAGCAGCAGCAGCAGCAGGGGCAGAGACCCCGAAGGCGCAGCTGAGGCTAATGAGCAACACAGAAGTGAAGGGGGGCGGGGAAGTGGAATGCCTCCAGGTGTGGCTGGGGTGTATGTACACCTCAGCAGAAGCAGCAGCAGCAGACGAAAACGAAAAAGAAAAGAAAATTGAAGATCTCTTCTGGGCAGTGAGCACGCTGCCTGCAGCAGCAGCAGCAGCAGCAGCAGCAGGCGCCTGCAGCGGCGGGACCCTGCAGCTGCTGCTCCCGGCCGCTCCCCCCGAGCCGCCGCTGCAGCAGCAGCAGCAGCAGCAGGAGGCTTGTGCTGCGCGGCTCAACGGCCACAAAGCTGCAGCGTGGGCCACAGCAAACTCCAGCCCCAAAAGCTTACTTTGCATGCATTTGGGGCCTCCTCCTTGTTTTTTATTTTCTGTGCATGTGCTGTACATACACCTGAAAAAGGCCCTCGAGGAACTCCGGCCTTCAGTTTCCGCCCAAGACTTGCGGCGCTACGAACGGCTGCGCGAGCAGTACGCGGCGCTGACTTGATTTATTTCTTTAAACTAGTTCAATTCCAATTCAAATTAATTACTTTATTTATTTATTTATTTATTTATTTAATTTGTTATGCATGCATGCATCTAACACGGGGCCTGACGCCCCCGGCGAATGCGACCCCGGTACCCAGTTTTCCTCCTTATGTACTCCGTGCCGTTCATTATTTTTCTTTTCCGGTCAGACAGCAGCAGCGGGGGCCCCGGGGGACCCCCTGGGGGCCCCCCTGGGGGCCCCCTGGGGGGCCCCCACGGAGCCCCTTCTGGGGCCGCCTTGGGGAGCCCCCCGGGGGGTTCCCTGCTGCTGTGGGGGCCTGGGCGCCCGCAGGGGGCCCCCTTGTGGACTTCGCCTGCTGCTGGCAGCAGGGCAGAAGGGGAGGGAGGGGGCCCCCGGGGAAGTGCAGAAAGGGCCCTGGAGGCCCCTGTGAAAGGCTGCAGAGGACTCTGGAGAGAAGAGTGCAGTAGTGGAAGCTGCTGCAGCGGCGGACTCGCAGCAGCACAAGCAGCAGCAACGCCGGCAGTGGCGAACTTGAGCTGGAGCAGGGGGAGCCTGCGGCTGAGAGGCGGGGATAAACTTGGAAACTGTCTACAAACAGATGAAAGTGAATAATTTAAACCAGAAGAAACGCGGAAAATGGCCATTTTCAGCTTTTTCCGACGTTTCCGTCATGTGCATGCGCTGCAGCAGCGGCAGTCCGCAGGTGTAAGTACAGACGCATGCCGAAAAGGAAAGTTGATGGAATATATCGATTTCTCCATATTAATAAAACTTATATTATTTATATTTTGGAAAACTCCTTATTGGGTGCGCCTAAACTCCGACAGCTGGGACGGGGCTGTGTGGACTTGAGCCCCGGCGCTCTCGGATTCTACGGGAACCCCGCAATAAATCAATCCAACTTTGCATTCTTGAGTTTTCTGCGATCATTAAATTGAAAACAAATAATTTTTAAAGCATAATTTCATCTTTTTGTCGGTAACTTCATCATTTCTCCTATAGATAGCTGTGAGTTGGTGCAACGCCCGTTCAGTTTAGCCGCTGCCTTATATTCCATTTTTATTTCTTTTCCCTCTACACCTTCCCACGCATCAGTTTTGGGGTTTTTTGTGAAAGGTTTTGAAGTGGGAAAGTCCTGGGCTTTAGAAGCTGCAGCCTGCAGCAGAAGAAGCAAATTTGAATTGCGCAAGTTTAACCTTAGAAAGCCTCTGCATTCGTCTCCCTCTCTCGTTTTTAAAGAATTAGAAAGCCTCTGCATGCGCCCCTCTCTCTCGTTTTTTTAAAGAATTAAAAACATTTCCACTAATGCCAACTAAACACTTTCTCAAACTTTTGCTGCATGCAGTGACGCGCATGCAGGGACGCCGCAGCATTTTAGGGGCCTCAAGTGATAGAGTAGAACCTGCAGCAACAGCAAAGACTGCAGAAGGGGCTGCAGGGAGGGCAGCTAGCTAGAAGGGCTGGAGCCCCGAAACAGGTGGCTAGCTACAGCTAGCTGCAGCTAGCTGCAGCTAGCTACAGTTAGCTGCAGCTAGCTGCAGTAGCCGTGGCCACAGAGCGAGCCATAGTGCAGGCAATGTAGCTTACCCAGCTAGCTGCAGCTAGTTGCAGCTAGCTGCAGCTAGCTACGGCCACTGAATGAGCCATGGATCAGGAAATGTGCCTGAATCAGCTAGCCACAGCTAGCTGCATCTGCAGCTAGCTGCAGCTAGCTGCAGCTAGCTATGGCCACTGAATGGATAATAACATAAGAAATATGACTAATTTTTTACTAGATTGGTTTTTCTTATGAATAAACGCCTAGTGCAGACGTGGGCGCAGCGCTGCACAAGAATGCAATATCCTTTTAATTCATTTATTTTTAATTCATTTCTTTTGTTTTATTTCTGTGCATCTACAATGTCCCAAAGAGAACAACTTTTACCAACTCTTGATTCGCGCTCTAGTGACAGTGTAGCACTTTCAACTCGGGTGTAGACAACCTCCATTAATGCCATGTTTATATAATTGTATATAAACGCAAATGCGTACTTCTATATACAGAACGTATAATATATATGTATAATATATATATAAAGGTATTCATGTATATACATATGTATATACAATATATATTTAATGTACATTTTGTATATAATATATACGTAGTGTATGCATATATTAGCGTATATCAAATACACAATGCATATATAATGTACATATATATATATATATGTAATATATATTTGCTTTTGTGCACTAGTATAAACATAATGCAAAAATAGGCATGCATGCATGCACAATGTGTACATTTTAGAGAGAGTGGCATTTTGCAGCAACTGATTTGAATTCTTCTCAAAAGACTTCAGTGGGAAATATTTTTATTTTTTCCTCTTAAAAGCTCTTTAATTTGCTTTACGACCAAAATTAATTCTATTTTCTAGCCGCCTTTGAAGCTTAGAGTGCAGAAAAGCAGAAGAAAATTGAAGTTATTTCAAAGTTCAACTTCTAACTATTTCGAGAGATAGTTTTAAGAGCCAAATTTGCTGCACTCTTGCTGTGTGTTGTCTTATGCAGTGCTGCTTGTTTATCAGGTATTTATTATTATTAATAAAACCTGAAATGATAATTTACTTTACAATAAAATTAATACAATTACTAATACTTCTCCCTACACTTTGCGTTGAAAGTGTAAAACTAGAGTTGAAATGGAAATTGCGCATACAAAGCGAAGATGCTGCTGCTGCGGCTCCCCTTTGAATGCAGCGAATAGCAAAATGCATTTAAAAAAGTGCCAAAAGTGGGCTTTCTGATTATTTTGTTTGCTTAAAAGGATACTTTTGCTTGCAATTAGGGATCGCAGTTGTACAGACACTCGGATTGTCTTTAAATGCCGCTCTTTGGAGGGTCTTTAGCTCTTGAGCTAGAGAGAAAAGGCCGCGGGATTCTTATTGGTGCATGCGCTGCAGCACACAAAAGTAGCTAGCTCACTGTCTATGTTGCTGCTGGCCCACTCCCAGCAGCTTTAATGATGGCTATAGCAGCTGTAACTTATCTTTAATATTCATTTGCCAAGTTAAGGCTTTAATGGCTTTAAAGGGGCTCGGAAAGGTTAAGGAAACCCAGCGCTCGATGGTGCTTCTGTTGAAGTGAGTCCGCGCGAGTGGATGGGGGCAAATACGGCGTTACACACCCGCTAAGCAAAAATATGCTTTCAATTTTCATTAACTGAAATGAAATAAAATTCAAAACGGCGTCTTTCGAGGCGTGGGCCATTTGCTACTGTGAGAAACCACTGTGACCACTGGCCCCGTACGATACCATAGGCGTAGCTAGTGTGCTCGAAGCCCGTTTACAACTTTCGCAAAATTCCCTGTTATAAAATCCAGAAAACTCTAATTGCAAAAAATAAGCTCACTTGTGCCATTTTTTGGCGGTGGTTTGGCGCTGGAGAAACTCCTTCTGCAGCATCGACAGGACCCTTGCCGGTCGCGTGCTAGCAGACGGACTGCCGGCCAAATTGCGGTTCGTTTATAAACCTGGGGGTCTAAATTATTTCATTTAGCTTTAAATTTGCGTTTTGCCTTCTTTTTCAACGGGATCGTCGCGAGATTTAGCCGGGCGGGAGAGCTCGACATCCTAGGCAAGGCATGCAGGGCTGTGCCAGTGCGGTCACTGTGTTTGGCTTTTCTGCTGGTTTAGATGAATGCAACTGCTGCAGATCCTTTTTTTAATTTATTTCCTCGGCTCTTTGCACAGTTGTCGCTTGCTCATTCGCCGCTGCTGCGCAGCGGAAATGTGAGGCTGGTCGGCTGGCTGCATTCTGAGCAGCTAACGTTTGACGGCAAAAGCACAAACTTCAAATTGAATTGAATTGTTACCTTCCTCTGCTCAAGCTTGCTCATTTCTATTCCTTTCGGCTCTCTTTCGAGCCCGCGTCCCCCCCAGGAAAGAGGCCGACTTCTGTGTTGTGCAGCTGCGCATCGAAGTTGAATGCATGAGGCAGTTTCTGGTACTCCCCCTGCCTGTGCACAACTAGCAGCACAAAAGCGCATGCGCAGCAGCTGACGCAGACGCAGGCTTTGCTTTCAGCTCAGTGGCCTCAGCTGCAGCGCAGCAAGCAGTGCAAGAAGCCCAAGCCCTCCTTTATTTTTCTCTTTTCGTTTGGAAATTCAAAACAAACTTCACAACACTGCCTCGTAGCAGCGTAACACAATGTCTAACAACCTGAAAGGCCAGACGGCCCGGCAGGAGGTGCCCCAAGAGCGGTACCTTCGCCACCACTCGGCGGTGATTCCCGTGGGGTTGGGAACAGGCCAGCTGCAGGTGAGAAGGCTTGCAACGCATGCATGCAGTTGCCTTTAGCCAGATCTTTCTGCCTTATTATTTTGGCGTAGCTGTTTCCTACACTGAGTGAACACAGAGCAGCACATGGCCCAGCCAGTTGGGGCTGTTAGCCGGCAGTTTTGCGTTTGTGGCGGCTGAGCTCATTTAATTTCTTGATTTCTGTGTTTCCAAATCCCCAGGCCCTGCGCTGCTGGACGGCTAAGAGCCCTGCAGTCCTCGCGAACCCGTCGCTTCTCTTCTCCCTGTGTGTTATTCGGCCTGGCTCTACTCGCGAGAAATATGTGTTGGAGCAGCTCGACCCGCCTTTGAAAGAAAGGTTTGAAGTGGACTCAGACGATGTTTTGAATGCGAATAGTGAAGAAGACGAGTTGCAGTCGCCTGACATTGGGCTCTTGAACCATAAGAACGCCGCCTGTGTGCTTTCCATGCTGAAGACCCGCTACCTCGCGGGCAAAATGTACACCATGGCAGACCCGCTGCTGGTTGCAATTAATCCTTTTAAGGATCTCGGAAACGCCACTAAGAAGTGGATTGACTACTACCGCACCGCGCCAAACATTGCAGAGACGGAGCCGCACGTGTTCCGAGTTGCACGCGCGGCTCTTTCGAATTTAGAAGATTACAACAAGAGCCAAACCATTATTGTGTCGGGCGAATCAGGGGCGGGAAAAACAGAAGCCACGAAACAGGTCATGCGCTACTTCGCTTCGAACGGCAGCGGTGACAGCCGGATTCAAGAAGCCATCATGGCTGGCAATCCTCTTCTCGAGTCATTTGGAAATGCAAAGACCATACGCAACAACAACTCGAGTCGCTTCGGCCGCTTCATGCAGCTGACTCTCTCCAGCGAAAAAGGCATTTTGTACGGCGCAATAACAAATTTCCTTCTTGAGAAGGTCCGACTGGTTTCGCAGGAACCCAACGAACGGTCTTTCCACGTTCTTTATCAGCTCCTCAAGGGCGCCGATGACGAAATGAAGAGCAAGTATCACTTACGTAAAATGGAAGAATATGTATTTCTCACGGCAAGGAGCGGGGGCTGCTTCGACATCGATGGAGTGGACGATAAGAAGGATTTCGAAGAACTCAAGCAGTGCTTTGCAGCCATGGAACTCCCCAGTGAAAACGAGTCATCAGTTTATTCCATTTTATCCGGCGTGCTGCTAATTGGCAACACAAAAATCACACCTCATGAAATGCAAGGAGTGCCGGACGCTGCTCATGTTTCGACAGAGTCACTCAACATCCTGAAGGAAGCTGGGGGGCTGCTCTTCGTGGACCCGACACGCTTAGCTCAGGAAGTTCTCCGCAAGCACACCAAAGTTGGCAATCAGATGCTAGAGGGGCCGCGGACTTTCAGAGAAGCAGATATGATGGTCAAGTCTGTGGCGAAGCACGTTTACGATAAGCTGTTTGGGTGGCTCGTGGGGTTCCTTAACAAAAGGATTGCGCCTCCTGGGGGTTTTGGCGTATTCATGGGCATGTTGGACATTTTCGGCTTCGAAGTATTTGAACATAACTCGCTGGAACAGCTCCTTATCAACATCACGAACGAGCACTTGCAGAAACACTTCATCGATGTTGTTTTCGAAACCGAGACCAAACTCTACAAAAATGAGGGCATTCCCACGGAGTCCTTGGTGTGGACCGATAACGTACAAATCATGGAAACCCTCTGCGGCCCCCGGGATTCTGTCTTCGCAATCATTGAAGATATTTGCCTCGGACTTCGTGCGAGTGACGAGGTAAGGAGTGAATTACACACTGCCTTAAGGGCACAACGTTTCGCTTAATGGGTGCACGGCAGGGGACTTTGTTTCACATCATAAAGTGACACTTTTAGTAAAGCTACTGGCAACTGCGTGGTGACTGCGAGCGTTAAGTTCCACTTATTCATTTTGCACCTTCTTATTTGGCTAGTTGGTTTTGTTTGGCGCAGGCGCTGTGCGGCATGATTGTCCGAAAGCTTGGGGGAAAAGGCATAGTGTTGCCTTCTCGTCGAGACCAGCGAATAAAGTTTGTCGTTCGACACACCATTGCAGACATAGAGTACTCATGTGACGGTTTCCTGGAGAAGAACCAAGACTTCCTGAAGAGGGAGCTGCTGGACGTTCTCAAGGAATCGAAAGATACAGTCATGTCGCAGATGTTCGAAGGGGTTGTGGTGGAGGCAGGAAAGATAGGAAAGGGTTCCCTTATTGCTTCGCAATTCTTGCGGTCTCTCAATTCAATGATTGGCATTATTCGAGTGAGTGTTCACTACTCGTTGTTCTTGCTGAACAGGCTTACTTGAAACATACATGGCGGCTCATTTTGTCGAACTGTCTGGTAGAAACCATCGAAGGATTTTGGTGCTGTTTTTCAGGAAACCGAACCTCACTTTATTCGCTGTTTGAAGCCGAACGAAACGAAACGGCCGCTGGAGTGGGATGCGCCAAAGGTACTAAATCAGTTATTTTCTTTGTCAATTCTTGAGGCCTTGCAGCTGCGACAGATCGGCTATTCTTACAGACGAACGTTTGAAGAATTCGTCAAGCGCTTCCGCTGGCTGGACTTGGGGGCGGCAAACTCGGACAGAGATCGTGAAGAAGTGGCTAGAAGCATGCTTGAGGCTTCTGGCCTTGCACGCGATGAGTGGGCTGTAAGCAACTGCTGGAGCTGGTGCCTTCATTAATTATATGTATCACTGATTGTTTCGCTGCATTAAATATCCGCAAAAAAGTACTGCAGTGTTGCTTATGTTGGTCGCTATTGATCATTTATGCTGCTCACGCAGGTCGGCAAGACAATGGTGTTTCTGAAGGCGGAATCTGCTAGGGCTCTTGAAACGTTGCAAGCAGAGAAGATGATGTTGTTCCGTCCAGTGGTTGAGTTTGTTGAGGCGGCTTGGAAACGAGTCTTACTAAAGAGGAGTTTGGAAGCCGTATTGCCTTCCCTCATCAGGGTAGAGGCACACTGTAGACGGTAAGGAAATGCGATTTTTGTCTTTTGTAGAACTTGCCGGCTGGACGTTTGGCTTTACGCTCGTTATCGAATACTATAAAACTGCGTCACTTTTGATTTGTCCATGGGCAGCAGTGGACATGTAGAGCTTCACATACTTTCCTTACTGGGTTTATGTGCCTATGCCCCGTGTTCGATGGAGTAAGGCTAGCAGCAAACGCTACGCATTCAATTGTTTCGGCATGCTCAGGCAAGTGACACTCGTTGAGCATGGCGAGCTTGAACTGAGCCCAGGCTTCACTGAGTCCCTGCTGCAAGGCATTGACCACATGCAGCAGGTGAAGGAGCAGCGCGAGAGAGAACGGCAGCAACGGCTGGAAATGGCCGAACAAAAGCGTGCCACCAGGAAACTTACAAAGGAAGAGAAACTTGCGCAACAAGTCCTCCGCATGTACAAGTCATGGGACAGCATGCGCGGCGTGGCGACAAAGCACGAAGGCTTCTTTCCCCCTGAGCTCGAGTATTTAAGAGAGAAAAACAAGCGGCCTGCAGTTGAGCACCGCATCAAAGAAAAATGTCAGTTTTGCATGTGGCTACACAGCTGAGTACAGAAGCACCAGCTTACAGCAGCCTGCTTTTCTTCATGTCCTAGAGACAGAGAAGTGCACTTTGAGTGACTCCAGTGAGCTTACCGTGGGTCCCTTCAGCTCGCCAAAGCAGTCAAATTACATATAGAGTGGCCTAAAATTGTGCTTCTTTCGGTTTTGTTCCCTGTGACGTCGTGCAGCGCTTTCACACGTGGCCCGGCAGCAGTCGTTTCAAGACCCTGGGGTGGCGTATCATCTTTGGCGTAATGTGGAGAGTCTGTATCAAGCTCCTCTGAGCGAGAATCGGCTACAGAACATATGCACTTGCTTGCGGGATGACATGGATAAGATGTACGGGCATTTCTGGCAGGTAGTGGTGAACCGAACGGAGGCATTTGGGCTCGCCACTGCACACGCAAAGACGGAGCGCCACGTTGTAGATCAGCACGGGGTGTACAGAGACGGCAGAGTCTTCTGTTTCAACAATATCATTTTCAAATGTGTAAAGCCTTCCCGTGCCGGTGAGATATACAATCTCATAACACTTGACGCCCGATGCAGCTCATTTGCAAGCAGTTACAAAGGCAGTTTCCACTTTCTCACACATTCATGGCGGCATTTCACTTTTTCGTATTCTTTTGTTCTGTCTTGCTTCTCAGAGATTAGGCTGCATGAGGAAGCTGCCGAGAAGTCATATCTCTACTGCAGGCGGCACGACTTCTCTGGTACGCTGAGCACGGTACTTCAGCCATGAGAATGGAAAGACAAATGGAGATATTCGTGTGCGGCACCTTACCTTAAGTTTCAACAACCATTTTCCCCATGTTTATGTCTGCTTTCAATGTTGCAGGCCTTGTGCGCGTGCGCAAAAGTTTAGTACCCCCATACATGCTTCAAGACGTCTCCTACATGATAGGCCATTTATTCAACCGATTTAAAGACAACAGAGACTGGACTGGCTTTGCAGAACGGCTCCAGTCTTACCTTTTGGGCCGCTATTCAGACCCTCATGGGGGCTCGTGGAATGCGTTGGTGCAGGAAGGCTCATTCTTAGCTACCCGTTTGTGGGTAAAGCACAACAGATTCTTCCGGGTGGAGATCGACGGTGCTGCGGAGGCCAAAAACGGCTTCCAGGGCTGCCTCACAATTGTCTGCTTCGAGGCCTGCACTTCCTCATGAGCAATTAATGCGCACTTCCAAACTGCAGGCTAATGGTCTGCAGCGCTGCTAAGGCATAGAATGTACAGTCGACCTCCTCTTCTTGCAGCGAACAAAGCAATACATACTTAATTTGGAGGAGGCTATACGCCTTATTTTTGCAGAGATGGATTTGGAGTGTAACTGCGTTGGGCGTTCCTTTGGGCAATTCCAGCAAGGAGTCTATTTATCTCAACTAAGGCTCACGTTGTAGTTGTGTATCTGTCTTTTGGAATTTTATTTGATATACAGGGTGGCTGAGGCTAATCTGTGTAATGTCAAGCCTAGGACCGAAGCAACTGGCCAGCTGCAGTGACCTACCTATAGTCTACCAAGTGTACTTTATATATAAGTATTCATGCACGCATTCTGTCTGGGCACATACGGTTTACGGCCAACAGCCGATAAACATATACCTGAAAAGCATGCCTGCGGAGCACGCCGCTGCCAAGTCTGAAATGAACAAGTTGGCCAACACGCGTCTGGGGTTAAGTAAGTGAAAACCAAATAAGCAAAATGATGAAATCCGGAGGCCAAATCACCTGTGCACCGGCATGAAATTAAGGAGAGGCTCCCACAGACGGCAGCGCATACGCAACGTTGCGCATTAACATCACATAGACGAGAGCAAGTACGACTATAAAAAGAAAATTCTAAAAAAGAAAAATTGATAAAATTAGTATTCGAATGTCATCAGTCGCACCCCACTACACTGCTGAGACTGCAACCAGTCGATTTCCTAGACAGATTTGTCACGCGGTCGGACTACGAAAGAGCACCACCCGCCCTTTCCGGGCCCTTCAAAAGCAGCTTTCGCCCTTTCGAGTTCTGTCTCCAGTGCTAATGACCACTTTAGAGGAGTAAAGGGCAACTGTTGTTGCTCTTTGTGTCGTTGGTTTTGATGCTGCTGTTCAAAGTGCGTTAGAAGAGAAGTGGAAGCGTTGAAGCGGCATTTCTTCGAGCCCCTTCCGCTGCGTTCAAGTGCTGACTTCAACGCCATCAAACTAAAATATCTTAGGACAGCACCCAACATCAAGAGCAGCAAACGGCGTCTTAATCCGCAACTAAAGTTCAGAGAACGATTTGATTTCCCGACACTGCTGTGGTCAACGTGCTTGCATGTGGTCCTTTAAATACCCTGATGAGCATCCAGCTACCCTGTAAACCTGGGGCTCACCGGTGAGCGTCGCCGCAAGGCGACACAACAATGAGAAGGTCCTGTGGTTGCAGGGCTGCTAATAGCTCCACAAGGAGACGGTCAATCACTGCCACCACTTTCAAAGCCTCCTCGACACATACTCGGGGGAAAAGCACCTCAACTTGGCTTTTCAGACCCGCAGCACCTGCTGACCAAATCAGCAGCCGCGCAGCATTAGTTGCGCGCTGGCACCAACGGCTCTGGAGTAATAACTGCCAGCAAGCCAGGCCTGCAGCTACAGCTACTCCAGATATTATGGAAAGAAACACAGCAAAGCGTGTAGTATCACATACCAGCTAAGCAGTTGGCGATGGCTGGGTCATCCTGCATCGCATCGCCACCACATTCGAAAGCAGCAATACGCTACGCAGTGAGCAAAAGGCGAAATTTTAGGCGCTCCGATAAGTGACTAGTGGTTCTGCTCAACGCATTTTCCAAAATATAACACCAACATTTGCTGGAACTGCAAACGCAACAAGACCAAACAAATACGTTGCTCCAATCTGAGCGCTTTCCTGCGGTGCGACGCAATGACGGGTGGTGTCTGTGGTGATCCTACCAGAGAAAGATCACATATGTCATCGCTGTCATCTGTCTCATTTTTGTCATCTGTAACATTGTCTGAAGTATGGTTTGGTGTTTCAGTACTGGTATCGGACCTGCTGCAGGCTTCCATCCTTTCTGCTTCTCTCTCTTGCGCCTGTCTCAGCAGCCGCGCCTCAGCGGCCAGCAACATCTGCGCCCGATGGCTAAAGGCATAAATATTATCCTCAGGGGCGTGCAGTGTGCGACAACAAAAACGCTGGTACCCCCGCAGCACGCATACACCCCAAAGCGGCCTTCTGGAACTGCTCATTTCTGTTCGCGGCGAGTCTGTCTCAGTTGAAACAGTAGATGCATCAGCTCGAGTAGGAGAGACCGCCTGAGGAGTGTTGCACGTGCCACGATGTCTAAGCAGCCTCTTGCAAGCCCGCACCACCTCAGAGTCGTCTCGCAGCCCATCCTTGACGGATACGCCCTAATACAGACAGTGTACGAAAGGGCAGAGGATATGCACATGAATTATTTCTTTGCCTTCCGAAATACTTTAATAGGGCTAAATTGTGCATAATGCCAGTCGCAATGACACGTTTGGTCCACAATTACTCAGGATTTTAGTGCGGTTTTCACATACCTCAAGTGCAAATGAGCAAGTATGCTCAATCGAGTCCGCCAAAAACAAGCATTCTGTGGTCTGCTGTTCACTGCGTGATATCTCGGCCATTTTCCTCTCTGTCATTCCGTGATATAGGGCTTTCTCTTCTGCTCCGTCATTTTGTTGGGGCAACCTTTGGAGAGCTTGCATACACTTCCCCAAAGGCGCTAGCTGCATCATGGGGGATGCGAAGTCAGGCCCGTTTCGAATTTTTTTCAGTGCAAGCAACATTGCCATCTGAGCATCTTCGCAAGGGTTGTGACCGCCAGCCCTTTCAAGGGTTTTCTTCAAGTACTGCTGCGCGAGCCATTTCAAGGAGTGGCACCTTCCCCTCCGCGGGTGCGGATACAGCACCGATGTATCTATACAACGGGAGTGGACGAGATGAAGAGCATGCAGGTCATGCTCTAAGGAGTGGCCGACCAGTATGGCTCCCGGTGGCAGCACTTTCCGTAACTTGCTGTGCAAATTGTCTAGGCTAAAAGTCGCCTTGTCAAGAATTTCTTTAGTCAGTCCAGAAAATTCAGTCAGGTAGTCCGATACGGGGTTCTTCGGTCGAACGAGCATATCTATTAAGACACTGCAATCGCTGCCCACGATGCATACGCGACCCACCTCCTTCCCCTCTGTAGTTTGCACCATTTCACAGTCAAGGCCAAACATCAAGCTAACCGCCGGCTGTTTACACACATCAGAATCCCTCAGGTGTTAAAATTAAACTGAGGGAACAGATACACGCCAGCCAATGCGCTACACACTATACTGCTTGCAGGGCAGGGTCGTACCTCAATAGTTTCTTTCCTGGGCGAAGGATCCTCCAAAGTGATATAATTGGGTGGTATAACCAGTTCTGTTCCCTGTTCTAAGCAACTCACAAGAGGAAAGCACAAGCTTAAAGGAATCAGCACTTCTCTACAGCAGCTTCCAGCTGCCATCCTTACAAGCAGATGCACGGACAAGGCGACGAGCCACGAAAAGCTAAACAAGTGCGACAGAACAGATACAAAAACGACTCAAACGGTTGCCAATTGCAACACTGAAGTGCAAAGTTGAACTGTGAAACCCCATAGTGTAACAATGTGATAAAAGACCCACCGTAGCCCGGGAAGCCTCGAGTCCACATCATCCTACGATTCAGCAAGTATCTACTTAGACCGATGCCATCTGCAGCAGCACAAGACAATATTCTACAGCATTTCAAGTTCTCGCAGCAAACGAACTAAGCGTTAAAACTTGTGAATAAAGCTGCATTGAACACAGTCGTGCAAAGGCTGGTGCATTCACGTTGAGGGAAACAGGAGTACCTCCTACAACCTTATGTTCTGTAGCAGTTGAAGACGCAGTAAAAAGTTTCTGAATGCAAGAAGCAAACAAACTTTGAAGCAAACTGTCTACGCCCTCGTGCCGATTTTTCAATTTGAAAGTCGCAGCTGCTGCTGCAGCCACTCATGTTCTGTGAATCATCCTAAAACTTTCGTGGCCCACCTCCACAATCCCGCATCTTGCAGAAGCCGCCATGCGCGGAGTTCTCGTGTGTATCTTCTTCCTTGCTGCAACACTCAAGACGCTCGATGAGGAGTTGCTCTCTTCTATTACATCTTCTAGATTTCCAAAGAGCTGCTGCAGCTGCGAAACGTTCGGGAGAGCCCCGCAGAGTCCACTGCTGCAGTAAATGCGCAAAATGTTTGCGTCTATGTAAGGAACCACTGCCACCAATACAGACCCCACATTTTGGCTGTTGTGAATGCTCAACCAAGCAGGCTTCTCAGGCTCCTGAGGGCCATTAGCCGCACGCTGCTGCCGTTGCTGCTGCTGCTGCTGCTGCTGCTGCTGTTCATAACGCTGATGTTGGCGGGAGTAAAGCCTGGAGAAGCCACATACAGGGAGCTACGGCAGCCACCATTCACCCTAAGATTTGGAAGTGAAAGGCACGGCTTTGCATCGTTACGGATCTCAAACTGGCAAAGAGGTCACTATTGTATGTACACTCAAAGCTTAGCGGACCATAGCAATATGTTCTGAATATCTTTAAAGCTGGCGCCGCTTTGAGAACGGCCAAGTTGTTTGATCGACACCTCCAAATGTCCTGGGGCGGGAACTGAGGGCACAAATAAGGGAGGTAAACAGTGCAGAAAAGTATTATTCAAAAGCTTTGGAAGTGTAATCAAATGGGTCAAACAAAGGCCCTTCTTGTGTTTAAACACGGAGTGCCCTACAGCATAAGTGCTGGTGCAGTGACTTGGTTCAAAGTAGGAGAAAAGCAAAGCCTTCAAAGGGCTCGAGAAGAAGTCACCTTTACTGGCTCCATGTGCCCCGCCGCTAATTTGCCTTTTCATCGGGGCTGCAGACGACTGTGAAATCGGCCCCTGCAGCAGCCCCTGCTTGCTGCCTGCGGTGCTGGTCTCTGCCACAAGCCAGCTGCAGGTTTTGCTGCTTTGCTGCTGCTTCTGCCCAGGCCTGGCTCGTAGCGCTGCCCCTTGACCTTGCTTGGAGAGGCTTTCACGTACAGGCAAATGCTGTAGGGGATTTGCTGGGGAGGGAACTAATTAATTTCCTGTTTACACGCAGATCCAGCAGCCGCTGGTGTCTGCAGATCCTCAATATTACCATAGATGGAATAAGAAATGGCTGGCTTACCTAATTATGTATGTTGAAGCACAAGAAAGAAATCGGAATAATCGAACGCTAGCTACTGAATTTCGCGAGGGCAACTGAAGTGGCCAGGCGGGAAACTCGATGCTGCAGGCGGCTATGCATGCGAGCATGTGCGAAAAACGTCTGTAGCTATCGAGGGACTAATTTTACTGTTGAAACGCCGACGAATTTATGAAGACAAAACATATGTGAAACACGAGGAATGATGAGCTATTGATTCCTAGAAGTCGCTTCCTTCCTCACAGTAGGCGTTTCAGCGGCCACGGTGGCTTATTAGTTCTTCGGCAATCTTTACCTCTGGAAGCACAAGGAAACCGGCACTCAGCTGTTCATTCTCTTTTTTGTGTCAATATTTCGTTTAAGTGGAACCGTTTTCACCCTTACTTCGTGGACGAGCGCCACAACTCGCACCGGATAGACAGCCAGCAGATTGACGACGCCCAGGAGGATGGTACGTTCTTGCACACGTACATTTGGCCGTTTGCCATATTTCTGCATAGGCAGATGTTAACATCTTCCTTCTCTGTGTCCGCCTCAGCTTGCTGGAGCAGCTTTCCCCCCTGTGCCATGTGCATCTTACCGGCATTGCTTGTGTCCCATGTTTGCTCAGAGTGGTCGGGGTGCCTATTACAGGGCCAAATATGGCGGTAAGACGATGCTGGCTGGGCGTGCAGTAGTTCAGCTGTGGGGTCGCAGTGCAGATACAGAAAAGGGACTTCCCTGTTTCGGTGCTGCTGCTGCTGCTGCTGCAACGGCTGCTGCCTGTGCAGGAAGGGGCAGAGGCGGCCGCCACAACGTTTCGGGGGACGGCGGCCCCCCAGGCCACGCCTACGGGCAGCGGCAGTTCCAAGAAGAAGATGATGAATCAGCAGGAGGGGTACGGGTCCGCAGCAGTTCGCTTTCATTTTTTTCACTTTTTGTAAACTCCTCTGGAGTTCTTGTGCTGCGCACGTAAGGGGAAGGCAGCAGAAGCAATTTCAGTGAGATGTTGTGCTTCAGGCTGGAGTGAGGCCTTCGTCCGCGCCTTACTTGCACCAGAAGGACCTCTCGAGGTGTCTAATCAGCTTAGAAGGTGCAACACTCGAAAGATTCAGGCTTGCATGCGCCCTAAACACTAAACACTGCAGCCTTACTTCCTTTTTATTGACTTAAAATTTTTTATTTCATTAGGATTTATGTGTGCTGGCCTCTGTGTCCCGTTGCATGTGCTTCATGCTACAGGGAAGAGCTATGGCGCATATAAGGATCTCATAGGGTGTTGGGAAGTGAACGAATTCACACTATATCTTGACAAGTGGGCTGTGTTCAGAATATATTATGACGTAAAGCAAGCTTTTTCGTTAACTATTGGCGTTTAGTCTTGGAGCAGAAGTGGATTAAAACCAAATTCATCTTTTTTGCGCCCGTCTTGCCTCAGAGTTCAGTCGGACCCGTTTGCGCCTCCGAGTCGGTTTAGGCTGAGGCTTCCGCAGGCCCACGCCCAGTGAGTGTGCATCGTTTGGAGATGATTGAAAAGTGTTTGTCCGCTGTCTTTTGTTTCATCTGCACAGCGCAGCTCTGTGGTGTCTATGCACGCCTACGTTTGTGCAGGTTTCCACCTCATTTATACTCGTCTTATATTCGGAACGTCGCACTCTGTGATTTCCTCACCCGCAAATTCTTTGAAACAATTTCACGGGGGGGGATTGTTGGCCCTGAGGACGGCGCCCACCATGGCGGCTGGCACGATAGCAAGGTCTGCGGCTGTGCACATCTAAGCGATTTAGGGGCGAGCTGCTGTTTAAAGGCCTTTGGAAGCATTTCGTGCTGCTGTGCTCTCCAGCGTTTAGGGTTTAGAGTTTAGGATGTTTGAGCGCTGGTGCAGTCAAGTGGTGCAGTGATTGCAGCTGTATTCTCCCTACTAATGCTGTTCTGCTCCTCATTTTGCCTGGTTAGATCTTGGCTCTTCTAGTTTGTATTTGTTGTGGTTTTAGCCCGACACAATACGCATTGACAAGCCCGGTCAGTATGTCTTCCCAAGGTCTTCAATGATTATCAATTCTGAATATGTAGAGGCTCGATGCACCATTGGTCTGCCTGTAAGCTTACTTTCTCCGTTCGAACAGTTAGAAGATTTAATGTGTCTCCGTTTCAAGAATTCGTTTGAAAACGTATTTGTAACAAGTAAATATTGCAGACGTTCCTCAAGCCTTCATAATCCCTATTTTGATTATCACATTTGAGCACATGGATAGTCCATAGCTACGTTACTAGGCAGAAGCCGACTACGTTTGTTTCTTTTCATGCTCTTTTCCTGCAGGCCCGAGGCCGTCGAATCGAAGGGCGAAGAGCCGCCACCCTCCTGTGCAGCAAATTGCCTCAGCTGGTTCGCAGCGTCATGCACTATTCCAGCTTAGACGCTGCGGCTCTGAAACGCCACGTGGAATGCGTAGAAGACCAGGAATGTACGTGAAATGGACAGGGTCTCTTTGCCTTTGCTCGTGGCTGGCAGCGACATGGAGGCAGAAGTGAAGCGCTTGCTTCGTCTTAGTGAGATCCCTTGTTCGTGTTTTCAGCTCTTCGGTCACAACTACACGGACGCAATTTGAGCGCATTCGTGGCAAATGGAGCCTGCTTGCCTCGCCGCAGTGGCGTTGAGGACACTCCTATGACTCGACAGCAAGTGCGCAGACTGTCTAGGTTTGCCCGATGTGGCGATCTATTTTTCTTGCTCGATCCCTGCGGTACCTCGGGCTACAGCCCTTCACTCTGCATCTCTGCTCGGATTTGCCACGTATCCACTGAATTTACGGCATCTAAAACCGAAGGATCTTTCTTTAAAAACTGCTTTTGTTTGTTTCATAGGAGCCGAATTTAGTCTTATTCCAGTCTCCGCCCGACTTAGAATGCGAGTTCACGCTTCCAAACTCTGGAACAAGTGAGATGTATATCATGTAAATCTCTTGACTGCATAATTGCGGCATTCTCTATACACGTTTGCCAATGCCGTCATAGAGAGCTGCGTGAGTGCACTCACGTGAACAGAACACCGTGAATGAAGATTGGTTTATGTGGAAAAAGCTGTGCTTATTTAGTCAGGGGAATGGGCATCCCCCGAGGAATAACACTGATTGTTGGTGGCGGTTTTCATGGCAAGTCAACAATGCTGGAGGCTTTGCAAATGGGCGTGTGGAACAAGATACCAGGAGACGGCCGAGAGTTCGTCATTACAGAGCCAAACGCAGTGAAGGTAAAGCAAATAGGCAAAGCCGTCGTTGGAGACCCCAGTAGAAGTACTTATCTTTACTTGCTACCTATTGCTGATGGGGCGCATGCAAGATACACTTAAATTCAACGTTTTGCGGCCAGCTGGCTTTGGGCTTTTTTCGCAGATACGGGCGGAGGATGGAAGGGTCGTCACTTCTGTTGGTAAGCAAATGCGGGTGCTTTCTTGTTAACTGCTTTCTTGTCAACTGAGTGTTTGAAGCAGCAGTGTGGTTCATTGCTGCGCGCTGTGAGAGTCTTGTTATGTGTTCTACAGATATTTCTCCCTTCATTAGCAACCTGCCATTTGGAAAGAGCACTGACGCGTTTTCATCTGCAGATGCGTCAGGCAGCACTTCTCAAGCCGCCAACATCATGGAGGCTTTGGAGTTCGGGGCAACGGCGCTGCTTATTGACGAGGATACATGCGCAACGAACTTTATGATCAGAGATTGCCGCATGCAGGCTCTTGTTGGTGAGAAAAGAGCCAAGAATAAGTGTCACATCGGCTGAAGAACTGATATTTAGACCTGCTTTGATCTGTTGCTACATAATTTGAGTGCGTCTGCCTGCCCAGCCAAGGAGAAGGAGCCCATAACTCCTTTCCTCTTTAGAGTCAAACGGCTATTCACTGAGCTCGACATTTCCACTATCATGGTGATCGGCGGCAGTGGAGACTTCTTCGAGGTGGCTGATTTGGTTCTTCAGTTCGACAAATACCAAGCTTACTCGGTCACAAAGCAAGCCAAAGATATAGCACAAGAGTTTGAAAACAGTAGTGCCGGAAAGGTACGTTTTGAAGGGAAAGACAGATGCGTAACAGCGGATGATGGAGTAGCCTTCCTACGTCACCTCCTCGAAGCAGCACTTTGGCAACTAGGTTCAACCCTACAACTAGCATTCTTATTTCCTAGCCTGGACCGCTAACCTGCTGTTCGCTGCTTGTGGGCTGTTGATATACTGCAGTTTCAGCTGCAGACAGCCCTAAGCCACGCCAATGTTCCCTTCGGTGCTGTGCGTGAACGAACTGTTGCCGAGCGTAAGTCATGCTGTGAAATTTAGCATTTTGCAGTACCATGAACTTTCTTTGCCGCTAATGCTAAGTTCCTCGGAAGGCAAGGCTCGTCTAATTACAGACATGCTGAGCGTCGTTGCTGCACAGATTGTCTACGGCCTAACGGCAAGGTCAAGGTAGGGGGCACGCGTTCAATTTCCTACGGAACGACAAATATTGACGTATCCGGCGTCGAGCAGCTGGCGGAGGCCTCACAAACGAGAGCGATCGCATGCTTTATTCAACAGCTAGCCAAGAACTACGAGCGGTTGAGGCAAGAGGGAAAGCGGTAGGCGACGCGCAGCCTGAACTGTACACCAGAAGGCCCGGACTAGTTTCAAGCGTGACAGTGTGATCGGTTCCACCTCTTGACTCTCTTCTGGCAATTTCATGCAGCACTCTTCGACAAATGATAGAGGCGCAGTACAAAATGATTGTCCAGGCGTCTTCAGCAAGTAAGCAATAGCACCACGCGTCTCTTGACAGAGTGAGATCAAAGGCAAGCACCGCAAATGACCACATCGCGGTGTCATATTACGTTGTTTCTGGCTTTGTGAGCTGTGGTTGCTGCTACAGATGACACCAAGTACCCTCGGCTGGACTGGCTGAGCACGTGGGACCACCCCGTGGTAATTCTTTCGTAGCAGCCCACGCTGTCCCTAAGGCGTTTTGTTCCGCAATTCCAATAAAATATACATATATATATATACATTTCTGCATATGTAGCCACAATTCATTAATCCTTAAAGCGGGCTGGGGATAAGTGGCGTGTCTGTCTGAGGAGCGTCTGGTGCTGTGTTTGCTTTTGTCCTTTGTATCAGGGTGACTTGGCGCTGCCGCGAGAGCTCGAGGTATGAAGTAGGAGAGTCGCACTTACGTTTACGCTAAGAAGTGCCACTTTACCGTTGCTTGAACATTGAAGAGTCTGCTGGTCCTTAAGAAAAGCGAGTGCTTTGCAGCAAATAGCAGGAATTTCTGTGACGTAAGTTTCCCTCTATTTTTGCATTAACTTTGGGCCTTTATGATGGAAATGAATAGACATGCGTTTTCTTGTGGCGCTTTGCTGGCAGATTGGATTCGCGATCAGCCGTCTGCGCGGCTTGAGGATACGGGACACAGCCTGAGTCCGCATGTGTTTGAATATGTTTGCAACATTTGGCTGAGAAGCTCTTTCTCAGGAATTCCAGGCCACACTGTTTCGCGTGGCTGCTTGGGCGTCTGCGGATTACTGCTCCCTCCTTGCTGCCTTTTTTCTGAATTCATTTACAGCGTTTACACGTGGGAATCTTGCAGAGCGTTGTATTTGGCTGCGGCTTTCTGTACTTACGCTATAAGCGCCCGAGCCCTTTCAACTGTCTTTCTTTGAATTCCAATTTCGTGTCGAAGTTGGGCGATTCGTTGTTGGTCGTAGCCCATGCGCTCCTGAACGCAGCCGTAGTGCAATTGCGGGTAGATGAGAACAATAGTGGCAAGAAAGTCATTTTTGATGAAGTTGAATTTCATTTTTAATTGATTAGCAAGTAGATGCAGCAATCCGTAGTTCATCTCTGCAGCACCTGTGGCGACATAGTCCTCTCGAGGTCTTCTTGGTTCCCGGAACTCATCATTGCGCTGAGTTCGTTTTCCGCTTGCTGAGAGAAGTTTCAAATGCTGAAGTTGAAAGGCCGTGAAGAATTAACAGCCAACCTTCTCTTTTTTGTGTTGAAGGCTCGCTGAGAAGTTCAATTGATAAATAATGCCAAATGATATTTCAGATTGTCCAAGAGTGCGGCAGTCAGATCCCACCTGCTGGGCTGTCAATGCCCATTGCAATATCCAGGACCCCTTGCGCCTCTGCCTTCTTTCTAGGGTCTCTGCAGTGGCCCTCATGAAGAGTTCAGTTTCGCCAGCAGTTTGTATTCCCCTTACTCTTCTTCTTCGGGCTTAGGCGCGTACACAATATAGACCCCTGCTCCTTTCAGAGCCTCTGCGCTCGTGCATTTTGTTTGACCGCAAGGGCTGCAGCAGCCGTAGTAGGGGCCGCATACCTGGGTTGGCTGTGGCGAGTTCTCGGATCTGCATGCCGAGGCCGGCAAGCTTGAAAAACGGGTTTGCCTCCAACGCATTGCGCAGATCTATTGGTCAGATCGATGGAACATGCAGCTTACGGGTTTCGTTCACTGCAAGGATAAGGCAACTGTACCTTTGGAAACGCTTTCCAGCTTGGTTGCTGCATACAGTCCGTCGATTCCGTGCTAAGTGTGAGGTGGGACAAACGCATTACCTGCAGAGTTGGCGAGGGGGTTGTTCTCGTTCCCTGTGCTGCCTCATGAGCTCCCCTCTCCACTTATAACCCACAATATGCAATCTAAGTTACCCGCGGTTCGTCCCGCTGGCGCCGCTGTTTGGGGTAGAGTAGCTGGAGTTGCAACAGGAGCGGGCTGCATGCCTGTTGCTGCACCAAGTCCGCCTGCGAGCGCACTTCTCGCCACCGTCCTTGCCAAGTCACCGATAATTCCCTCAGCGCTATTCATTTCGAAGCTGCCGAGAAAAACGAGAAGAAAAAGATTTATTACCATGGCTGATATGTCAACAGTTGCATTGCGGAGAAATACAGCAGCAGTAGCTGTGTGCGGAAACTGGAACTGTTCGTGACAGGATAGGATACAGCTGAAAGCTGAGGCTGCAGTTCATGAGGAAATTCACTCCAGGTTCTTCTTCATTTTATGTTATATCCTCTTCCCAATAGTATCAGCGGATGCTTGTTTCAACAATTATTTCTTCTCATGCATTCCTGGTGTATTGTGAGTGCGCTTGAAGGGAAATTCAAATTCCACCTACATGTGACTACGACCAGTACTCCCCCGCCCAGTCATCCTGCTGAGTTTCAAATCTTCGTAGCAAGACACAACGCAAAAATGATCTAGAAGGGAAATATTGGTTGCCGCATCTGTTCAAAAATGATGCAGTAGGGTCGCGCATGGCAACCACCGTAAGGCGAAGCATTCATGAACAGGGGTTGTCCATGGTAGATTTAGACACGAAAAGTCCACTGTTGTCGATACATAAACTTTCACTGCGTTTTGCGCCCTAGTGTGCGTATTTGAAATGGCTCAACAAGTACGACTGGCATTGTGGAGGAGCTCATTTCGTCCACCGAAACACTTCAAAAATTTTGTTCAGGTGTCTTCTAAACAGCCGCCTCAACCTGTATGTCTGTGGTCTTGCATGCCGTTTTCCCGCATCCACAGCTCCCTGTGCCCGTAAAACGATGACTGCCGCAGAAGCAAAGCGGCTGCACAGGGGAATGACACAGCAGAGGTAGTAGTTTGGTTGGTCCTTATCCACTGGGAAAACGTGATCGAAAATCTGCCTCGGAGAGCCGCAGCAAAACGGGACAATGATCGGAGCCGAAGAAGCGCCTCTGCAATACGCATCATTTCACCGCACAAAGCGTTCAAATGTAGTCATCTGAAGTCTTCAAAGCTTAGAACATCCAGTAAAACGTGAAAAAGGCCTCGCCCGCTGTATCCTGGCCGTTTGAAAACAAGGCAAATTCATTTTTGAAGTCAGATTCAAATTTTGGGGCTGCGCACCCTTGGGAAAGCCTTGCCGACGATTTCAATAGAAGTGACGCAGGGCAGCAGCTCCTCGCTGGCAAACTGAAGCCGCAAAATGTGCAAGTTCAGTAGCTCATTAGAAAAGTATACAGATAACATGTATAGACTTGCACTGTCCTTTAAATCCATGCTCGATTTTCATTTTTTCCATCAACTTGTCAAGAAAAAAGACGGAAAACAAAGACGCTGCTCACCGCGTGGTCAAGGCGCATGGCGCGTGCACTCGAGGGGCTCCAGTCTTCGCTGTATCCTGTGGCGCCAACCCCTCAAGCTGATTAAAACTATTCCACTTAGCCCTAAGTGTTCATCACTAATGCAGTACAAGTGGTTTCGCTCGAGATCAGTTGCAGAAACAGAAGAAGCTTCAAACTAACTCAACCTATTCCATTTAGCCCTATATGGACACTGCAAGTGGCTTCGCTTCAAATTATTTGCAGAAACAGGAAGGGCGCCAAACTCACGTAAACTATCCCATTTAGCCACATGAGCTTGAGCGAATTCACTTGCAATATATTAGCTGGTCGCTAATATATTGCAAGTGAATTCGCTCAAGATCATTTGCAGAAACAGAAAGAGCCCCAAAGAGACTTAAAATATTCCATTTACCGCTCTGGGCTCGTCGCTAATACCTTGCAAGTGGTTTCACTCAAGATCACTTGCAGAAAGAGAAAAAAAACTGCGCGACTCCGTGCTAAAAGGCATCCACGTACCTCGCCAGGTGTAGGCCGCGTCCTGAACAGGTGGTGGGGTGGTTCTGGGGTTGCGTTGTCTGTACACGTCAACCAGCTTCCTATATTTTCCGCACAATCAATCATAGCGAAAACATGCACATAGACAACCGCATGATTCATAGAAGGTTATATGGAGCTCAGCAGCCTATATGGAAATTTTGTGAATATTCAAGAACTCGACAGTTCACATGTCACGCGTCACTTCAGCTGCCATAGCTGAGCTTCCACTATTAGAGATAAAGGGCTACATACCCTGCACGCAGTATGCCCTCCAACCTATGCCGTTCTGCGTCTGTGCATCCGGGCTGCCCCACATCCTCCTGCACAACATCCGCATAATTCAATTTGCACCCTTCAGTCAGCACAAAGAAACATATACAAAGGAACCGGGACCACTTGCTATAGCTAAAATATGCTGTTAATCTCGCAGGAAGCGCTAGCCCTCACCGGTTTCAAATTTGGGTCTGGCTGATATGCACTTCTGAATACCTTCGGGTGCGAAAGATCCGCGTCTGACGGCGCGCTGTACACGACAAAAGATGCACTCACAAACGACGCAAAAGAATGAATCCGCGAACATAAAAAAGCGCAAACGAGAAAAAACAAAAAAGAGTAAACATAACAAAAGCGCAAACAAGAGACTGAAACACACGCTGTCCTGGTGATATCACAAGTAATTATTGTTGCATGGATCCGTCCCAGCGTAACAGTCACGTGCCATGAGGTAAAGTGCTTAGCAAGTCTCGGAAGCTGAGCCATGCCGAACAGCGCTGTTCGCTATGTAGAACAAATGCAGCTGCAGACTAAACCACAATGCGTGCTCATAAGGATTTACTGTCACAAAGACCCATAATGGGGCCTCACCAATTTATGTCGCCCATCCAGATAAGCGGCTTCTTCTCTGACGAAAACGCAAAAATACAAGGCAATACAGAAGGGAGCTTAACAGTGACGCGCAAGCACTTGTGATTGCAAATGATAGATAGTTGGTCGGACTTCTGCATATATGGGACCGAAATGAAGCTCCAGCACAGTAAAATCCACGGCTACAAACCAATTTGCAATTAGCAGCGCTATATCACAACAAAAAGGGAAGTTAACCAAAAGCGGGCAGGCTCATTAAACAGCAATCGGGTGGGCTGCCTCACGCCGCTGCATAAACTTAAACAGCGCATCATCCCACTGTCTCCGTCTTTGAAAGCTGGTTTGGGTCCATCCATTATTTGGAGAATATCTGAAAACAAAAGGAAAACCAAAAATTGCGCGCCCGTAGCCAACCACGACAAATGCATGTCAAGTCTGTCACAGCAGCTGGGCGCCATTATTGCAGCACCAGGGATGGGTAGTCTCACAACTAAACCAAGCGGAAGGAAAAGCACAACTGAATTCTGCTGGAGCCAGGAGAAGTGTTTGGGCTGGTGACTGACGTGGTGAGGAACGCGAGACGGCCGAAATCAGCAATGATGACTCTTCCTTCCTGCCACCCAGCGTAATGCATATACTGCTACTTCAAGCACCTCTGCGCCCAGCCCAGAAAGGCTTAGCCTTAGCAAGAAGGGGAAGTAAAGGATGAGATTGCTGGAAACCCAGAACTGAACAGCTCTTACTGCGTGGTGGATGTCTGGGTCCTCTTCGTCCAAATTGAACCGAAGTGCAGCCACCTGGAGCATATTGCCGGCCGAAACAAAAAACGTTGCATTACTTAAGCCACTGCTACGCATGGATATGGGCATGGCTGCCAAACTCCATAGAGGCAAGGATGCGTCAGGATTTTCCAGAAACTGATGTCCCGACGGATCAGCAAGTGCGGGCAACGGACAATGAAAATCTCTCAGTTCAGCAGCACCTGCTACGTTTGCAACGAAAAGGCATTCATATCTTGCTGACCTTGAGGTGCCGCCTAAGTAGCAAGAACTGCCCTGTGAACAACACAGCCCGCAGAAGAAAGCATAGCTCATGTACAGCCCATGTTGCATTTCCCTAAATGAGCAACCACTGGCCCATGTCTAAGCTTACCACTGTACTTCCAGTCCGCCAGGGACATCAACACGTTGTAGTCAGGGAAAGCAGCCAAGGCCTCGCGCAGACAAGAGCCAACCGCCTGTGTTTCCCGTTTTTCTGCCGCTGACGCAGACGCTGCGGGCTCTACCCGTACAGCCCCTCTATCCCTGGG